GGCCCTGAGTACAGACGGGTGTTTTACAACAAGAATTAATATATTGCAGATGATTTACAATGTAAAATTGGCCAGGAATGAACAAGGAATGAGGTTCAGGTTTGAAACTACCATGTCACATACCTAAGTGCAAATTTGCTTGTGAAAATGTTTTGACCATAATGCACCGAATGGAAAGGAAGCATTTGGATAAGTCAGCCCCCTTACTATAAGATGGGTGGCACAGGGAAGCCATATTGTCAATGTATTGGCTGTTGTAGGGATAGGAAATGGAAAGCTGACAGCCGAAAAGAGAGAGATTAATGACAATTGGGGCACTGTACTTATATACTGATTATAATTGTTTTGATCAACCCTTTTGCATCTTATTTTTGTCTTCAATTTTATGTTGTGGTTGATTTGATGTTGGCAGTTACTTTTAGTTGCTGTCCCATCCATACCATGGTGACTTTGGAGTTACCTTTTGTTTGCAGCATGTTGCTCAATCATTTGAAAGCAAAAGAAACTAAAGCTGGTTATACACTGTTAGATTTTTTCATTTTTTTATTCAGACGCAGGGCGCGATCTACTCTTAACAGAGGCAGTTGTATATAAACAGAGATAGATGGATAGATAGATGGATAGATAGATGGATAGATAGATAGATAGATGTAAATATATACCCATTTATATTGCAAAATATATATATATGTATGTGCGTGTGTGTACAAATTTAAATGTATAAAATAAACTTAATTTTTTATGTTGTGTGAGATTGGCATGCTTAAGTATTGGTAAAACCCCATTTTTATTGTGTTTCTTAGTTTGTATAATGAAGGTACAAAGAAATGTGAGCACAGTAATATAAAGGGGCATTCTGGGGACCCACTCACACCAACGCAGTGTGTTAATCGCACGCTCCCCTGTGATTAATGCACACTACTGCACACTGCATGCACTACTTTTTTCAACCGTAATTGCACCGCAACAAGAGGTATTGCAGTACTGCCTGTTGTGGTGCAGTCAAATGCATTGTGATCTGGAGGTGCATTTGGGGTGCCATTCAAATGAATAGAACCGTAGTGCATCTGCCACATTGTAACGCATGGTAGGTGCGTTGTGCAGTAGTGTGCCTTAATGACATGGAACTGTGTGATTAACACGCCACATTGGTGTAAATTATTATTTGCCCCATTGGAGGTCCTCCTTACATTTGTTGTCCCCATATCAGAGTGCTTCCTTACATTAATTATGAAAGCAAGGGAGCAATCCGATGAGGACAGTCAATGTAAGGGGGCACTCTGATGGGGACCTCCAATGTAAGGGTACAAAACACAAAAATTCCCCAGCCTCAACCTGCCAGCCAGCCTGCAACCAAACAAGTAGCCCTGTCAACAGTATGCGTTAAAATCAGAGGTTTTAGTTGCACAAACTTTTGGCCAAAAATATGTAGAAGCCACACTGCCGCGCCAAGGCACCTCTGCAAAGTGTGGTCCTAACTCTATGTATCCGAGTCTCCAAGTGTGAGCATATTAATGAAGTTGATAAATTACATGCAGGTGTACCTGGAGGTAGCCAACTCCTCCTAATAAGGTGCAGGGACGCACTGGAGGCCCAGCAACCAAAAATGCACGCTGGGACTCCAGTGCGTCCCCCTAACCCAAAATAGTCAAACTAGAAAAAATGGTACATGCATGAATCTATAACCTTTATAGTTGGCTACCTCCAGGTACACCTGCATGTAATTTATCAACTTCATTAATATGTTCACACTTGACAGGGCTACTTGTTTGGTTGCAGGCTGGCTGGCAGGTTGAGGCTGGGGAATTTTTGTGTTTTGTATTGTTGTAAGCCTTCCCAATGTGCGCTCTGCTATAAAGGCCGGTTATAGATTCATGCATGTACCATTTTTTCTAGTTTATCCAATGTAAGGGGGCACGCTGATGGGGACATCCAATGTAAGAGGGCACGCTGATGGGGACATCTAATGTAAGGGGGCACCCTGATGGGGACAGCCAATGTAAGGGGGCAATCTGATGGGGACAGCCAATGTAAGGGGGTAATCCGATGGGGACATCTAATGTAAGGGGGCACTCTGATGGGGACAACTAATTATTAGTTGCCCCCATCAGAGTACCTGCTTGCATTAGTTGTCCCATCAGAGTGCCCCGTTACATTAAGTTGTGTGTGCTGAAAAAAAGTACTACATGCGGCCTGCAACTGCATCATACTGCGCTGGCCCATATAGAACTCATCATATTTCAATGAGGTTCTAACAAATAATAAAGAAAAAAATAAACAGTGTGATGTGCTGGGATCAATGCATTAGCACTGACCTGGGAACACACACCAGCAGCTGTGCTTTGTAGTGCAGCAACTGGTGTGAATGCAGTCTAAATGGTGGATAACGGTACAGACACTGACTGAGTGACTGTTCTGCTTGAAGGATATTATACTCACCAGACCTCCTTGAATCTTAATCAACTACCCCTGTGTTAGAGGATTGAATACAAAATGATCATTGATGCTTATTAATACATTGTAACCAGAGATACATAAAACGCCACCAAGCCAATTGTGCTGACCATGGTGCTGAACTTGTCTGCTCTCAGCTATTACAACAGACTATTGGACCTAAGCTGCAATGTTGTTTTGGTTTTTTTTCTAAAACTAAAACCAACAACAGAAGCATTTAAATAAATGTTTATTGAAGTGATATAACTGGAAAATATTGGCAGTTAAAGTTCAGCTACAGCAAAAAAATAAAAATGTATGTATTTTTATAATTGTATGTAGTTAACATCTTTGTATTTTTCCCCCACATTTACAAGGAGACAAAAGTATCAGTTATAGATTAGGACAAACCATATACTACTGCGGGGGGTGCTTACAATAATCAGCCTCCTTACAAGTTTGAAACCTTTATTAAAAAAAAAACAAAAAAAAACTGTTGTGGTAACTGTTTCAAACGCTTTGGCTACAGTTAGGCTTTTATTTGCTTGTTGCCTCTGTAAAGTTTATTTAAATTAACATGTCCAGATAAGACAAACCTGTCCAGAGGGTGACAAAGCTGCTGTGAGGTTTCACTGCAGAATTATTTTATTTTTCCTTGCCTTCCTCAGTGAGAAGAAATCATATTCTTGTTCCCTGTGACGTTATCATAGGGATGCCGATGTCTTCTTTCTGGCAGAACCGGCATTCAAGAGGGTGCCACATGTCATTTCCATCAGATACAGGTCACTTGGATCCCACCAAGTGACAACACTGAAAACCTGTCCTCAGAATTGGTCAGGATACTGTTGCATGGGTTTCGATACTGCAGTTAATTAGTTGCTGGTAAAATAGCATTGTCTGCCTGTGGATGAAAGGCTATAGACCAGCAGGATCACCAAGTAGCCTGCCGGGAGTGAGGTTTTAAAGCTCTGGGATACCTAAATGTTGTCTAGATACAAAAGCCATGCACATAATTACTTGAATTTTGGTGTGTGTTGTGTATTTCTTTCAGATCTGTGCAGTAATCCAGAGTGAAACTTTAAACGAGAACTATGGGGTTAAGGCTTTTCCACATAGTTCTCCTTAGGGTAACGGGAGAACACAAACTAGCGTCTTTCCGTCACCCTAAGCTCAGTATACCGCGAGCCACAGCTCACGGTATACTGAGACGCCGTAGTATACTGCGAGCTGCTGCTCGCGATATACTAAGACGCTGAAGCGGATCCCGACAATTATGTCTGGATCCGCCCAGCAGCGTGAGTGACAGCTGGCTCTGCCTATCTAGAGGCAGAGCCAGCTGTACCCGCCCCCTCCCCGTCCGATCTGCCTGTCAGCGCTTCTGTGTATTCGAAAGTTCGAGTTAGAACCGAACACGGGGGTGTTCGGCTCATCACTATACCTGAGCAAAGAACTTTTACTTATATACCTGATCCCTGCTCCCCTGGCAGTCAGTGTTTAACAACATGTCTTCTTTATGCTCCAGCTTGTGCACTGTCCCTGGGGTCCTGTGGATCTTGCAATTGTACAAGATGATGTCAGCAGGCCCCCGGCTGATAGAGTGGAAGGGTCAAGAGATTGTGGCTGATGGTTTGGGAGCCAGCGGGGATCAGAATACTAGACAAAAACAATCAGTTAGTTGTTTAGGGTGGAGGAGCCCCACTGCATGGGGAATTTTTTTTCCCTGGAGACTTTGAATGAAAATTTGTGCCTGGAGTTTAGCTTTCAAGAAGACCTCCAGGCACAAATGTTATTAAACCCTACAGTGGGGTTTTCCCTACATTGTAAGTGTTAACTGCTAATTTTTGTCTAGGTGTAAAAAAAAAAAAAAAAAAGAGAAGAGCTGGCTGGTTGTTACAGCGCGCCCTCCTGCCTCCTATGCTGCAGTGATGGTATGTCCTTGGCATCCTCATTTCTTATAAACTGTATAGAACGTGATGACTCAGAGACCTTAGAGAAGGGGGAGCGAGGCTGAAGGGACCGGTCTAAGAGCAAACCGGATTTTTTAAAAATGGGAGAATATCATTTTTTTTAACCTAGACAAAAAGGAGCAGTTTTGCTCTGATTTAAGGCTTGTCAGTTCAAATAAGCAGGTTGATTTATTCAGATCTCATACCAGGGGACATTTGAAGGTTGATGAGGGACAGCAGCATTAGTTGGGAAGGGACAGTCCCTCTAGATAAGGTGAACCCAGGTGACAGTATGTAATGTACATGGCTGGAACAATACGAGGGACATTGGGAGCAAGGAGAAGATGAGTCTCAGTCAGAAAGTAAACACTGTCACCATCAATGAGTCACATTTCTATGCGTCAGCTGTCACAGGCAGACGTCGTGTGGATTCGTCTCTTCGGCTGCCTTATTATTTCCAGTATAAGAACATGTAGACACAGGAGAACTCATACAGAAGCATGTGTATTAGGCACAGATTAGACACCACACTGTGAGCTCATTCGGCAATGTGTGAGTGGCCAGCATGGCATGAAGGGTCCTTGAATGAGGCAGTGGGACTGGAGAAGGCTACAGGCTGTCACCTCCGCCGTCCTCTACCAGGCACCGCACCGACACCAACATCGTAAACCCGGGCTACACAGACGCGGAGCAGGAGACTATGACGGTGGTGGCGTGCGATAACCTCCTGGAGGAGGCGGCCGCCCTGCCGGCTCAACACTCCTCCGAGGCGTACGAACAGGACGAGCACGAATGCTGCGAACGGGTGGTCATCAACATCTCCGGGCTCCGCTTCGAGACCCAGCTGAAAACTTTAGCCCATTTCCCCGAGACTCTGCTGGGGGACCCCAAGAAGAGGATGCGCTACTTCGACCCCCTCCGCAACGAGTACTTCTTTGACAGGAACCGGCCGAGCTTCGATGCCATCCTCTACTACTACCAGTCCGGGGGGCGCATTCGGAGACCCGTCAACGTGCCTATCGACATCTTCTCCGAGGAGATCCGCTTCTACGAGCTGGGGGAGGAAGCCATGGAGAAGTTTCGGGAGGACGAGGGCTTCATCAAAGAGGAGGAAAGACCTCTGCCCTCCAATGACTTCCAGAGGCAAGTGTGGCTGCTCTTCGAGTACCCGGAGAGTTCAGGTCCCGCCCGGGGCATCGCTATTGTGTCAGTGCTGGTCATCCTCATCTCCATCGTCATCTTCTGCCTGGAAACCTTGCCCGAGTTCAGGGACGACAAGGAGTACAACGGGCCGGTCCTACAGCCCATCAATGGCACCGGTCCATTCCTGAGCAGCTCGTTCACGGACCCGTTCTTCATAGTGGAGACCCTGTGCATCATCTGGTTCTCGTTCGAGCTCCTGGTCCGCTTCTTTGCCTGCCCGAGCAAAGCCACCTTCTCCAAGAACATCATGAACATCATAGACATCGTGGCCATCATCCCCTACTTCATTACCCTGGGCACTGAACTAGCCGAGCGCCAGGGCAATGGGCAGCAGGCCATGTCTTTGGCCATCCTGAGGGTCATCCGTCTGGTGCGGGTCTTTCGCATCTTTAAGCTTTCCAGGCACTCCAAGGGGTTGCAGATCTTGGGGCAAACTCTGAAAGCCAGCATGAGGGAGCTGGGGCTGCTTATCTTCTTCCTCTTCATAGGTGTCATTCTCTTCTCCAGCGCTGTCTACTTTGCCGAGGCTGATGATCCATCCTCAGGCTTCAGCAGCATCCCAGATGCCTTCTGGTGGGCAGTGGTCACCATGACCACTGTGGGCTACGGGGATATGCACCCGGTCACCATAGGAGGGAAGATCGTCGGGTCTCTGTGTGCCATTGCTGGTGTGCTCACCATTGCCCTACCAGTGCCTGTCATAGTGTCCAACTTCAACTACTTCTATCACCGTGAGACTGAAGGAGAGGAGCAAGCCCAGTACCTGCACGTAGGTAGCTGCCAGAACCTGTCCTCCAACGAGGACCTTAAAAAGACCCGTAGTAATTCAACTCTCAGCAAGTCTGAGTACATGGTCATAGAGGAAGGGGTGAGCCCAGGACCCTTCAAGCAGCCCAGTTTTAAGACAGCTAACTGTACCACCAACAACCCTAACTGTGTAAATATCAAAAAGATCTTTACAGATGTGTAAGTACACTTGCTGGGATATTGGAAGAGTCAAACAGCCGCTAGAAATGTCACCACCATCGACATCAGTGTGTCCCACTTTTTAAATGTTCATTTTTAAGCGCTCCTATGGGAAGAAATCTGTATATCTAGGATATCTGAATGTAGGATATCCAAGTGGTGCTAGTATGCTGAGCCGCACAGTCAGTCGTGCCAGGAGGCTGTACATCTATGTTTTTTAGTTTTGCAAAAAACAAAAGGGAAAGTCTCTAGTTCTTTATTTTGCCCTCTGATGAAATGCTGCTTGTAGTCTCTGATTGGAAGTAACCTCATAAACCTAATTTACAGTAAGACGCAAATGGGACAGGATAGACTATCACTGGGAAGCAAATGGTTGCTTTCAGAAGATTACCATATACCTCCAAAGCCTATTTTTTTAAATCACACATATTTGTTTTACATTGGGACTGTTACCATCTCACCCTTCTTGGGACCACCGACCCCTCAAAACATTGAACATTTATTTGTGAACAAATATTTTAACTGATTCCCAGCATTCAGTAGTTCTACGCTGTAAGCAATTCGTTTTTAATTAGGTTTCTAATACAAAGTAAATATATAGCCTAGCTACTTGAACTGCTAAGCGTGTACAAAACCTTCTCTAATAGTGCCAAGTACAAGATATATTGTAGAAATCATACAGCAGAGGAATCTTTCTGCGCTCTGTGGATGCTGTTATGCGTGACAGTCTACATGCCAGAAGAAGATTAAACTGCTGGACTTGCTTTTCATCGGAAGTTACTAATTCTGACCCAAGTGATGCAGTTTCCATAGCAACAGTGGGTTTCCTGAGAAACCCAGTTGTCATGGCATCCTTGTTTCCATAACAACCATCCAGATGGTTCCAACTTACAGAGACACTGCTGCTGTTGGGAAAACGCTCAGAGAAAGTTAATTCCAGAGAGATTTGCAAAATAGGTATGAAAATGCGAACCTCACCTTTGAGCACGTAGATGTGGAGCCAAACCAAACCACACTGTGAAGGGCACGCTGATGCTTCCAAAAACGACAATGGAAACAATAATTTAAAAAAAGATTCAAAAGAGAAACAAAGGCAATTGTTTCTGATGGAAAAAAAAGGTCCTCGGTTTTATCATATTTGCGATGAGGAGCAAAACAAACAACAGTTCTTTGTCCTGATCAAATCAGCTGTAGCATTAAAATAAAGCACTTTATAAGTGGAAAACACATCAGCACTTACATGACTTTTATAGCAAAAGATCAAGCCTTATGAAGAACAATAAGAGGGTCTTAAGGCAACTAGCACTACAAGTGTCAGCCTGGTCTTGTCAGACCCAGTCACTGGGGAGTGATGGAACATTAGAAAGGTGAGAATCTGTTACAAAATATTACGTTTTGTGTTTATTGTGAAACATTTCATGAAGTTATTTAAACATTTATAGGCAGAGTAATAACATTGCTTGGTAATGCTTAATGAATATAACAATTTGTGCTTATTTCTGGTATGTGGCAAAAAACGAATGTTTCTTTTTATAGTTCTGTTTTATTTTTAAAGAGACACTAAACTCAGGAGTTAAAATCTTGTATGAAAAAATGTATCTTATTTGTGTATCACTCAGCTGTAGATACTCAACTCATCTCTGAATTCATGCTGACACTGTCCTTCCTTCTGGAGGGTGGCTACATTTGTTCCCCATGGTCTCTGTGTGTGTTGGAAAGTAGCCACTGCTCCAAGATCAATATTGTTATGAACTAGAATCTCACATTGAGATTACTAATTCGTATTGAGATTGTAATCCATCATGAGAGCACCCCTGGAGCAAGTAGCTAATTTACAACACACACAGGGATCATGGGGAACAAAAGTAGCCACCCTCCAGAAGGAGGGAAAGTGTCAGCAACAATTCAGAGATCATTTGAGGAACTATAGCCGAGTGATACACAAATAAGATACATTTAAATAGTTAAAGTACTTGACTGCATTTTTAAGATTTAATTTAAGATTTAACTCATAAGTTTACTGTCACTTTAAGCATTAAAACAGGTGTTAGCAACCTCGGCACTGCAGCTGTGATAGAACTACAAATAGGAAGTTATGAGGACAAAGTCTGGAATTACA